AAAAAATTACACAGTGTCTCATAAAACAACATTCACTTTCGTTCTTAAAAAAACTATTTTAAAAAATTCAGGGATATGGAGAACAAATATGTGAAAAAAAAAACAATAAAAATTAAAAAATGTGTATTTTTATATACAATACTTTTTTGTGTGCAGTTTATTCTCTTGTCTTTTTTCTATTCTCCTCACTTTTCTACTCTCTGCCGTATTATTGAAATTTTCTTAATTTTTTTAAAATAACACAATAATTAATCAGTTTGTTTGCAGTTAATTGTATTTTGTTTATCTTTTCTCCTTTTTTTCTTTTTAATTCACTTTTGATCTCAGTTTTTTTACTGTGCAAAATATTATACAGGGTGTTAAGAAAAGATTGTAAACTTTTTAAGGAGGTAATAGTTTGGATCAAAAGAGACAAAAAAGTCTTAATAAACATAAGCCTGCAAAGTATTTTACAGTATATTCAAACAAAAAAGAGAAGTTTTTAGTACAAATTTTCACATTTGATATTTGAACCATTACTTTGCGGACCTATGTTTATTAAAACATTTTTGTTCATTTCAGTTCATACTGATACCTCCTTAAATATTTTACAATCTTTTTTTAACACCCTGTATTATACTGATCACTTCTAGTTTTTCGCCCTGCAAATCTAAACATAAAAGCTTTTGAAAGAAATACTTTTTTTGGAAATTTTTTTTTTTGGAAAAACCTAATAGTGTTTTAACCGTTGGAAAAATTAACTGTTTTTAATAGTTTTTGGTTGTGGTGCTTGAATTTTGTAAAAATTTCCATTTTGTCCCCAATTCTCTAAAACAAAACTTCTCCCGAGCTTATTCACCAACTTTAAACTGTTAAACTGTTATTGTATGTAAATTATCTTGTAGAATCAATTGAAAACAGTCACAAGGTACATTCATTAAAACAAAACATTTCAGAGTCTGAAACAAAGCTTGGCTTTAATCTGAACAAAACTTTAGATTAAATTCAAAAAAAAAAAAATGCACTAGTAACTAATGAGTTTATAACGTTTCTAGAACCATCCAATTAGTGTGTGAGTGAGGACAGTCTGAGGTCGGATTAGATTTTAATTAAGCTTCAAGTTGATTCTCATATATCGATCTGGCTTTAGCCGATAAATGCTAATTTTTACCCAGAAAAACAATTAGTTAATTCATTCTTATTTAGTCTTTGGAACTGAATATAGTAATAAAAAAAATTCAAGTAAGATAAGATACTAGAAACATGGAAAAAATGTTTAAAAAACTATTGATACTGATGATTTTGTGTAATTATTTAGTAAAGGTACAAAAATTTTGCCAATAAAAGCCACAAATAACATTAAACAGAGTTACAATTTATGATGCTTCCTCTTCTAATAGCATGTAGCAAAAAAAAACTGGGAAAATTATTTTCCAATAGAAATAAATAGAGTCAAAGTACAAAGTTTAAACTTTCATAATTCGGAATTTTTTTAAACATTTTTTCCATGTTCCTGGTATTATTCCTTGTATGGGAGTTCTGGCGCACCCTATATATCGACCGAATTAACTTAATAAGACGTCAAAAAAGCTTGTTTAGTGTTTTTTCATCCCCCTGTATACAGCCCCACATTTATGGGATTATTCCTCGTATCAGCTTTTATCACTCGAAGCTTCCAATAAAAAGCACACGCATAAATGGACTCTACGAAAATTGTATCGACAGTGACAAATTTAAGGCTTAAAGCGAAAGCTCGGTAAGCACAAAGAGAATCAGCGTATAAAATACACCTCGAGGATTTTTCCCCCTTCAAACGTGCGACTTTTACATAATTTTCGATGTTAAAAAAGTTCCAAATCAATAGAAGAATTTTTTATCGGTGATGAAATAAATATTTCAGGCAAAGTTATGAGAATATTAGCGAGCTGTCTCCGGCAGAGGTGACGATGGTCATAAATCAAACCAGTAGATCGAAAACTCACCCCATTTTTACGTCTAGAGGAAATTGCATCACGATATTAAAATTGGTTAGTGAAATAGAGCTTTTTTCATAAAATATTTATTGTTATTTCTGCGAGCACTTTGACTAAATGTGCCCAATAATAATTCTAGTGTTTGAAAAATTTCCGTTGAAGCTTTTAAATGGGCTGGAGAGAAACTGCATCGACACGAATAAATTTAAAGATTAAAACGAAAGCACAGTTTGCATAAAAGAGAATCAACTCGGAGTGTACCACTGGGGATACAATTCTGCAATATCTCCAGAAATAAATGAGCGAAATTACAAAATACCATCGTTTTAATGTCACATATTTTTTATGTTTAAACACTGCGTTGAAATGAAAGTTAGTGGTAAATAACACTTTTAATAAATTTGTGTTGTTTCAGGCTGAAAATTTGAAAGGTGTGTTACCAACTACTGATTAACTTTTAAAATATACATGGTAGTGGAGCAGAAACTCTGCTTTTTAAGTAAATTTGCTCAAGTTGGTTTTAAGGAGCGGTTCTATATTAATTTGTGAGGTAACAGCGCCAACTTGGAACAATTAAAAAGGATAAAAATGCGCTCTCATTAAACAATTGTAAACTAAAAGGTTGGCTATTTTTTTCGAGGAAAACGAAAACAAATATGTTTTATTAAAAATAAAGAAAAATCATTATTTATTACTGATCTGATTATTTTGAAACACATATCTGTTTAAATATAGTTTAGTTACAGGACTATTCTTCTCTTTCTTTTTGAAGACTTTTTGAGTAAAAAAGCTTAAAAAAAGCAACTTCTTAGACACTTGGTTATAAACATGTTAAAGTATTTGTTTTTATTATTTTCTCGATATCCAAATTGAATATTCGTATTGCGGTATTAAATTCAATAATTCATTTATTTGAAATTTATGATTTGTAAATAAATAATTTAGTAATAATTGAAGGGGTGTTTTTTTGAAAACTGGTAGTTTCTTTTAAAACAGTTTTTTTCGCAATTTTTTTTTATTGAAAAAGACTTTTAACTGTTGGTTTCTATTAGGAATGAAATTACCAAATGCTAAAGACGTTATGTACAACTTGGATTGTTGAAGAAACAGTGGATAAAGGTGTTAAAATATGTTTGAATAAATAAATAATAATAAATAAATGTTAAAAAAGCACAAATAACACTATTTTTACTTAATTCAATTACTTTCTGGCGTATTCTTGATAAAATTTTGCGAAATAATTGCGTTTGTTATTGAAAAACATTTTAAAACGCTCGAAAAGAGCATAAACTATGTCGTTTTTTATTTAGTCTGGTATATGTATTAATTTTGGTATGTTTTTTTAGCAAAATTTAAAGAAAACACTTTGTTTAAACTTAAAAACGCAACTAAATGTTTGAAAAAAGCAAGAATGACATGTTTTTCGACTTAATTATGTGATGTTTAGACTTATTTTTGACGAAGTTTTGTGCTTTTGATTGAAAAATCTGCGTTTGGAAAAGCAACCAGATGATTTTTTGGTTCAAAAACATGCTTAAACTCTCCAAAGAAGCAAAAATAATTTTAGTTTCGTGATAGTTTATTCATTTTTTACCTCAATTTCGACGAAAATTTTCAAAACAATTACGATTCTGACTAAAAAACGTACTAAAACGGAAAAATGGTACTATTTTTTAACAAAATTTTTTGCCCAACCTAAAAAAAAAACTAACACCATTTTTGACCAAATTTAGCGATTTGTGAGGAAATAATTTTGTAAATTTTTAATTGAAAACCGTGTAAAACGCTCAAAAAAATCATAAAAAACGTCAGTTTCAACCCAATTTGATGGTGTTTCAATATGTGATGTAAACAAGCAAAATTCATTATTTTTCACTTAATTTGGGGACTTTACGGTATATTTCTAAATATTTCGAGATAATTCAGTCTCTTATTGAAAAATATGGTGTTAATATGGAAAACCGTTTTCGAAAAGTCGATAAACTATCTTCAAAATTAGATCCAGTAAACAAAAAAAAATCTTTTAAATGAGAATGTTAATTTTTGGGACAGCATAAAGTGGACTTTTTTATATTGTGTCGTTAGAATTTCATTTATAAATGTTTTGTTAAACTTGAAATATTTTTATAAAGCAATAGTTATCACAAAGTTTATATTAGAAAAAAAAACTTGTTTGTTGGTACATAACACTTCAAATTTTCATTGTCAATTAAGTAACGCATTTTACAAAAACTACAAAACAAGAATTATTAACTTACTGATAATGACGAGAATGGTGAAACACGTGTACTTTTACAAATTTGGTTCTTTAATTTTTATTTTAAAAATTGTGAGTCATGAATTACTTGTTATAAACACAAATAAATATTTGTTAAACAACTTCCAAAGTTAATTTTCCTATGTCCGAATTTTCCTTTTACATTAATTTTGGTGGATGCGCCGGGAAAAGTATTGAAATTTTTATTTAGATAATAATAAATTTATAAAAAATTAAAATTTTGTATTTTTTAATTAAAAAAACATGCTCATAAAAGCTTTATTTGTAGTTTCCAAAAAGTCCTTGAAAATTTAGTGTTGTTGTTTTTAGGATTAGAAATTCGAAGAATTTTAATCTGCACTAAATTGGGATTTATTTTTGTTATTTGTTTTTATTATTTTTCTCGTGTCCAAATTGCATATTCATATTGCGGTATGATGTCACCAAAGGTAATTGATTATCACAAATAATTCAATTATTTGAAATTGATGACTCGGAAATAAATTATTTCAATATTTGAGTGGTGAATAGTGAAATTAATTAACAATTTTTTTGACGTAATTGTTTTCAATTTTTTTACGAAGAAAAGTTTGGTAAAGTGACATTACAATGGCTAATGGAAGCCTAAAAGACACACATTACGCCGACTTATTTTCCTAAAAAGCTTTGTTTCTTTCAAAGCATTCAACAGGAGACTTATTCCCACCGCGTTACCAATTCAAGAAAATTTCCCCGAACAAATAGCAATACATCAGAGTGGTTTCGAAGCTTTATCACTTCGTCGCACTTACCACAAACTTACAATTTCACTCGTTTTCGTGCGAATTTTTAACGCGCTAAATTATAGAATAGCGATATATATCGTCGCGCACATGCACTGGGCTACCTGTTGCGAGCGCAACGTCTCGACGGTGAGCGTCGGTCGGCTAGATCGCGAACTGGATGAGCTGCGCCGTTATTCTGGGGCCCGGACAGCCCTGGTCGCTTTACCTGCCAGCCAACGCGCCTGCTCCCCCCTCAATGCCGGCGTTTTCACCTGCCTGGGACGACTCTTCACCAGAACTGGGTTAGTGCCACGGGAGGAACCATAGGTGGGTCAGGGGCATGCAAAAGTCGGGTCAAATCTGGATTCCAAGGTGTTTTGTTGAAATGTGAGGGGGATCGCGGCTTTGCCGCGCACTCACTCCGACATTGATGCAATTTTGCTTTAGTTACTTGATAAGTGTAAAATAACAGTAGCATCCCACACATTCCCA